AGGTTCAAGGTTTATCAGTTGGCAGCGACTCTCGACAGCCGAAGCGGATCTCTCCAGGGCAGTCTACGAAGCGCAAAACGAAGAAAGCGACGTTGAACAGATTCGATTCTCTCGGTACCATTGTTGTAATTCGGATTCCAAACCGCAGAACAATAGGTACTCAAGCGTCGATCGTACGAGGGAGCAGTAAAGAGATTTTAAGCAGTAGACATCGGTGAAATTCTTAGCTATCCTGAAGATGAACCCTAAAGTCCTAGACGACTTATCGATGACATAAGAAATGTGTTGCCTGAATGTTAGCTGTGAATCCAACCAGTGATGGCATTATCCTCACTCAAATGATTTTGTTTCGCTCTCAAGGGCTCCCAATATCACGCATGATATTGGAATAAAATATCAAGCATGATATTGTTTTACAAGCTCCTTTGATATTGCGAGACCATTCAGAACATGTAAAATTGCAGCCACGAGTTGACTTACCACAAAAATGATTCCTTTGCACATCGTTTTCTTAGAAAGAGAAAACATAGTTTGCTATCTTTCTTTACGCTTCACAGATGGTAGACACGAAGTTACTACTGCCAGCAGTGATGGAAGTTTCGTTTTGTGTTCGGATGTACAGCTTGAAGCTCAAACTCAACACAGTTTGGTGAGAATTGTAGCCGGGGAGTTTTGTTAGCATGATATCATAGCAACCGTATCACAGCTTGTAATATCATCGGCTGTTGTTTGCGTTTTGAGTTTTTGGTTTACGATACTCAAATGAGATTATGCACATTGGTGAGATTAGATCTTTTGATATTTTCACAACACTGAATCCAACACCACACCCAGGTCTTTCACCTGATTCACGCGTTCGAGTGTCGTTCCAAGCAGGTCATAACTGAATACAATCGGTTGCTTTTTTCGTGAGAACGTTATGGCAGAGCACTTTGCTGGGTTCACTACCATTCGATTTAAAGTACACCAACTGGCGAAGACATTAAGCTGATGTTGAAGATTGTGGCAGTCAGCGATCGAGCAAATTCGTAAAAATATTTTGAGGTCGTCTGCATATGATAATCGAGGTCCTTCGATAACCAGATTCACGTCGTTGAAGTAGAGTAGAAAAATCAACGGTCCCAGATGGCTTCCCTGCGGTATACCTGATGTGGCAAAGAAGCTAGCTGATTTGCAATCTCCTATAGCAACCATAAGTTGGCGACCAGTAAGATACGAACGGAACCAACTCAAGAGATTACCGCACTATTGCGGGAAGGTTTTCCTCCGGTCGATGTGGGTGCATTCGTTGTCGTCTGTCATCGTATTGGTGCGATGCGTGCTGTTCCACTCATACGTCGTGTCCGACGCTTATCCGTCCGTTGCTCAAAAGCAAACGACGAAGAAAACGATTTGGCAAGCATTTTTATTTTAAGGTTCAATTTACTTTGATGCTTTTTGGAAAATTTCAAAAGCAGTTTTTTCCGACGCATTATTTCAGATTGCAAAAAGCTCGCACTATTCGATTCCTTTTGATATTTTACACAAAATGACGCGAGTTTTCTGCAATCTAAAAGAATGCGTCGAAAAAAACTGCTTTTGAATTTTTAAAAAATGCATCAAAGTAAATTGAACCTTAACTGTCTTTCTCCTCCCTTCCTTTCATTGGTGAAATGGTGAGCGATAAACCGAGCATTAAGCTCGCTCATGTGAGCATGCGCAATGTGTCGTTTGTTTGATTTGCGCTTTATTTTTGCGTCCGTGTTTGGGATTTTTCGTTACATGTCTGAATTTTGATTTATTTTTAATGTGACCCCCAGTATAGAAACTAAAGACGTGTCCTACGTCAAAAAAACTGTACGAAAATTTACCGAATAACGTAAGGTTGCCATTAACCGCTCAACTTTGCTTCACCTATATGTGTCTAAATACAAAATAGTTAATGCAAATCAGAAATAGGAAAAGCTTTCAACTTTATCTTAATTACCTAACAATGTCGTTGCAAATCTTCACAGTTTTTTTTTATTTTTTCTAAAATTCTGTTCATATTTCCCGTGGAGTTCTCTTCAGAAGTTCTGAGTAAGAATTACCTAGAAATTATATCCATAATTACTATTACAGTACCCGTTAGATTTTGACACAGTTCATTTGGATTTTATGTCCACAATGAATGGAATGACCAAAGTAGTAGTAAACCATCAGTTTAGTTTCCAATTAACCGATGGCTTTGGGACGGATCGCTCTCTATAATTTGGTACAATTCCATACCAAATTAGAGAGCGAGAGATCCAGCCTACATCACCGGTTAATTAGTGTTCCTACCCGGGATCATCCTGAGAAACTATTCCTTGAAAAATCTACCAAAACTAACGTTTCCTGATTCCCGGGAATTCGATTCGGGTTTCTTTTTTTTCGCAAAAGACATGCTAGGTATAAATTTAAAACAAAAAAATAAATCACACCCAACGGGAAATCGTTTCCAGAAAATTTGCTTTATTTTCCCGGACGTAGTCGGAACTTTCAATGAGAGGAAACTTTGAAAGAGGGGAAAACATACGAAGAGGAATTAAATTAAAGTTGGAAGGAGCTTTCGCGGGCAGTTGAAATAAAATTATCGATATGAAAAAAACAGCCTTGTCTGAAAAACTTTTGATGGAAGATAGAAGATAATTCGGACAGAAAGCAAATGCTCTTTTGGATGAAGTCGGCAGTAACTTTCGTTGAAAGTTTAAAGAAACTTTCAAAGAAAGTCGGAAGAAACTTCCATAACAGTCTGAAGACACTACCAAAAGAAGACGAAAGACTGGGGATTTTCAGGAATGTCTCAGAAGATTTATGAGAAAAGTCAACTGTAACTTCTCGAAGAACTTCCAAAGAAGCTTCCAGTGGGGATAAACCTTCGAATCTTTCAGAGGAAGTCGAAAACTATACTTCTGGAAGAACTCAAAAGAAAATTGAAAAAAGTTCCTGGAGAAGACGAAGCTGGAGGAAACAAACTTCTGTAGCAATTCGAAAGAATCTTCTAGCATAAGCCAGAAACGGTTTGGGACAGTTAGAAGAAACTTCTAGGAGGAGCCAGAAGCATCTTCCGGGAGAATGTCAGAAGACAAATAGTGCCTTGCAAGGCCATGGCGATACTTGAAACAGTTCCTGCAAATGCTGGAAAAAACTTCCGGGGGAATACAGAAGGTATTAGGAGCAATTTGCAAAAGCAATTGGAAAAAAATCTTTCGATTGTAGTTGGCAGAAGTTTCCGGGAAACATAGGATAAACTTCCAAGCGATATAAAAAAATAAACTTCCGATGGGAAATCAAATAAAAACTTCCTGGAAGTCGGAAGACAGTTCCATGGGAAGCCAAATGTATACACGGATAGAAATCTCCTTATACCTTTTGGCAAATTTCTATTGCTGATTATTCATAAAATGTATAAGTCAACTAATAAGCAGACGCCTTGCAAAAAGTTAATGAAGATCATGTGTCAAATGAAATGTATAAGCGGTCACAAATACCTTTTATGCATTCTTATAGGACCTATGTGGTTTGTCTCATGGAATGTATAAGGCTGATGTTTTGGCAAAAATGTATAAGTGGAACTCATGAATAAAATAATTGATTTTCGTTTCGTGTACGGTTCATACAAATTTCCAAAAAATGTATGTCTACGGGGGGTTACAAAACCTCTAAAAATCGGTCTACGTAGTTTATGAACAGCCCTTTTCTACTCTAGTGTAGTAAACTCTTTCTACACAAGAGCAAGGACACGAACTCATTTAGAATTTATATTACCTTGGTTTGGGTCTCACCTCGTTTGACAGCTCTGATCGCCCGTTTGACCGACCGAATCGGACAAATCCAAATGCTACTGTGGCATGTCGGTTCGTCTGTGCAATCGCGTCATCTGCCGCTCAAAGGTAAATGCTTCGAACGAATTTGATAGCAAAGATTACACCCTTAGAAAAAGGGTTGTGTATTTACTCCACCTTCGCCCAAGCGCAGCGCTACTGTATCGGTCACTTGTATTCTGGCAATGTTGTCAGTCTTCTTGATATGATGTCTTCGGTAAATACCAGGCATCATATACAGGTATTTCTATATTTCAGAACAGCAATTCGGACAATTGGCATTCATCCAAAAATGACATTCGATTAAAACGAAATACATTCTTTCATATGCACTGTCACGTGACAATAGAACGATGGGAGTGACGCTGACTCATTTTCAAATAGATTTATTTTCTAATGACAGAAAAAAACGCATTCCATATTAATTTAAAAGCTCCACATCTAGAATATGTATCGTTAACTCTGCCTAACTTAGCCTAGTATGTGCCCGTGTTGTTCATACTACATCGATTGGTTGTAAACTTCTACTACTACTGTGTTACCACAACACGCAAGTCATAGAGCGCAATCGTTCTGTCTATCGAATAGTCACAGCATGGTTAACAATCAACAATTGCCGCCTTCACAACAGGCCAGCTAACTATAGATCTTAATTAGTTTTAATTACACGTAAAATTATCTTATACGGTACGAACGGGCAAGACTGAATGAGTGAGTAACAAACAGCTCCCCGTGAACTTGACCTTGGCCGCCAGTAGAAACAACAGCGAAATGGTCAATGGGTGGCATGTGTAGTATACACATAAATATAAATTAATATCTGACCGGAATGCCCCAAATACGAGAAAAGAAAAATACCGAACTAAATGTTGTTGGCAGTCGTGATCCTGACCAAAATTAGCTGCTGTCATCGATTTTCGTAAGACGAGCTAGCAGTACCCCCTCTCGCTCGTCGTCTTGTTGCTGTTGTTTTGAAGCAAAATAAATAAGATAGATGGGCTAATGACTGCACGGGTTTCTTTTTTTATAAATGAGCGTGAAAACATTGCTGACATTATTGATTAGTTTTTGCGATGGGGTTCGCAAGAAGAAAGCTCAAGTGGTTGAAAGGATTAACATAGATACTATGAAAATTATTAAAAATAAATAAAACATAATATTCACCATTAATTTCAGGAAATGGCGTCGTAATTCATCTCCCAGGCCTGTTCGAAGAGTTGGCCAAGAACGAAGCTAAAGGTCTCACAAACTGGCAAAGCCGGCTGGTCATTTCGAACCGCGCTCATTTGGTGTTTGATTTGCACCAGAATGTCGATGGTCTACAGGAAGCCGAAAAGGGCGGTAAATCACTTGGAACCACCAAGAAGGGCATCGGTCCATGCTACTCCAGCAAAGCCACCCGAAATGGTATCCGTGTGTCGGATCTTTTGGGAGATTTCAAGGTGTTCAGCGAAAAGTGAGTGCTGCTTGTCGAGTGTTGTATTTTTTTTAAATCAGGGACATTTTTAACGACTTTTTTTTTATCATTTCCAGGTTCGAATCTCTAGTCAACATGTATCAGAAACTTTTCCCGAACTTTGAGGTCGACGTTGCCACCGAACTAGACAGGTAAGCGATCGTTTATATTGTTTGCCCAATCTATATTTCCCAATCCCCAAAAGCAAGCTTCTTTGAAAACCGACAGTTGGTTTCTCTTTGTTTGATATGTGTATTTCTAGGTTCTAAAAAGCTTACGATTCGGTCCTGAGTTGACTGAATCTGTGGTAGCAAATAGGGTATTCAATGAAGGAGCACCTGATTCTCGAAAGAAAAAAAAAGAATGATTGATAAATAATAAATAAAAACCGTCGGTGCTCCTGCGGGTTTCATTCCTCCTTCCACACTGTGTGTGACCATCAATCTCTGTGTGTGACCTCCGAGTGGCACGAACTAATTGGTCGTTACGAAACGCTTCTTTCACAGATACCGCGACTATGCCGAACGGTTACGACCGATGGTGCGCGATACCGTTTCGCTGCTGCACGCCTCACTCAAGGAGGGCAAAAGCGTCCTGGTGGAGGGTGCCAATGCCGCTATGCTGGACATTGACTTTGGTACTTTGCTCGCCGCGCACAGTGTTGTGCGAAAACTTTCAGATCACGTCCTATAACCACTATTCGACTTTGTCCCCTTCTCCATCCAGGTACCTATCCCTACGTTACTAGCAGCAATTGCAGTATCGGTGGAGTACTTACAGGATTGGGGCTGCCCCCGCAAACCATCGGAGAAGTGATTGGTGTGGTGAAAGCATACACTACCCGTGTCGGTGATGGACCGTTCCCCACCGAATTGCATGATGTAAGTTGTAGTTGGAAACTTCCATACAGCAAAGACCACACTTCTATGTATTTTTTTTTGCTTTCAGGAAACTGGAACACTACTGCAGAAGCGTGGTGGTGAAATTGGTGTCACCACAAAGCGAGTGCGCCGGTGTGGCTGGTTGGATTTGGCACTACTCCGGTATACTGGTATGGTGAATGGCTACACCTCGATTTGCCTAACCAAGTTGGACATTCTGGATACGCTAGAGGAGATTAAGGTGGCTGTGAGGTAAGTGACTATTTATTGCTCATATTCACACACAAATCTACGCATCATTAATCATTAATTAGGTTACTGTCCCTAATGTCCGCCTAAGTGTCCCCAATATTAGGCCCATACATTTTCAAAGGAAAGCAATTCTTGACATTTTTTCTAAAATATCCATATGTATTGTCCAGATGACACGTTGTTACATGAAAAAATGAAGAACAGGAGACTTTTTATAGATGGGCCCAATCTTTAGATCCATAGGCTAACATTAGAGCCATTTCCCCTGTAATAAAGTAGGCTAGATGCACCAGCCATGACTATGCATGGTAAGTAATTATGGCATATGCAGGGTTGTTACGGCAACGCGTATTCAGCGATTTTTGCGATTATCAGATTTGTTATCAGATTACTTATGGCGCGAATGCGGTGCGGATTTGCGTATCATATGTTTGTTCTGGCACGAATTTGATGCGGACTTGCTTATCAGATTCGTTCTATCGTGTTCTTGCGGATTTTATTTCAAATTTCTCGTAACAACCCTGCTTTTGAGAATTCCAGAGTGCCTATGAAGCATTAAACAAAGTTCTGTCCGCAATGAATTGCCCATAAAAGCATAACAGCATAGAATCAATTGTCCTGCATTTTACACTGTGCATTAAAAGCCACATGTTTTGTTCAGAAAATATCGTGAAAAATACTAAAACTAGGTTTTCCCATCCATGAGCCTACGGAGGAATACATTTCAGCATTTTTTTTTCCTGCTTGAACATATCAGCCCCTTTTTATGGGCAATGAAGTTTTGAAAAAAAAAATGCAAAACATAATTTTGCAGGGAAACCGGGAAATCGAAGTTACCAAGAAAATCCGTGAATTTCGATCCAAAAATTACTAAATCGATTGAAAAAAAAAATTGAACCACTGAAAATTTTTAAGATTCTTGTACTAGACTATTATTATTATTTAACTTTATTAATGAGGCTTTCAGCCTTGGGCTGGTTCGCCTCCACGTACTAGACTAGATTTCTTTTTTCGAAATTATTTTAAGAAGATTTTAGTATGAATCTTAGCGACAACACCAAGGTATTTCAGAGAAAATTAAAGGGAGTTTTGGTAAGAACTCTTAGAAATTTTAGATTTTAACTCCAAGTCATTTGTGTGAGTTCAGAGAGGAATTTTTAAGTAGCTCTGTGGAAAATTCCAAGTCGATTGTGAAGGGGATCCCAGGATCCGTGAAAAATATCAAGGAAATCGAATTCGGCCTAAGTGTCCCTAATTTGGGCCCATACATAAATTCAGCAATCGACTATATTTTCAATAGCAACCAAAAATATCCATTAGTACCGTCCCAATGACGCGTTCATCTAGATACAATTGATAAATAGCAGATTTTCAGCGATGGGCCCAATCTTAGATCCATAGGCCAACATTAGAGCCATTTCACCGACAATTCCAAATTAACTCTGAGAATAAGCATTTTAAGGGAATTGCAAGGATAATTCCAAGTGCAGCACGAAACGAATTTCTAGATAATTGTAGGAATTTTTCTACGAGCAAATTCAGAAGAAGATTTCTGAAATAAGCTCTGTGAAGTGAAATTATTATTCTAATAAAATTCTATAAAGAATTTTTAGTAAATTTTCAACCATGAACACTTTGGAGATGCTTAACTTAAATATTAGACATTTTATACGATAGATGAGGAGATGGAAATATAGAATTGATAGTTCTGGTATACTGCCTATAATCGCATATAAGTCCCATATGGATTTTCGTCAATGTTGAGATAACATCGCTGTCCACTATCAATTGGCATCTACTTTCATATTATGCGATAAAACTAAGAATTTTGATTATGAAAAATGCGAAAACAACATCAAGTCAGTTTGTCCCAGTCAGTCCCATCCTGAAACTCAATTGTCCATAGTTAAAGTTAAAGTTCAGCTTTTCGAATTGCCATATTTTTCACTGATATAACGAAACAAGCACGCTTCATTGCAACTGATTTTTGCTTTAAAAATGATTAATAAATATTATTGGATTTAAAAAATATTTGCAAGGAAATTTCACTTCGTAACTTTGACGGTCATTTTCTCAATGCCTACTTTTTCCATATGGGACTGATATGCGATTATAGGAAGCGTAGTACGGCAGTGTGAAAATTGTAGGTTGAAAGTAGAAAGCCAGCAAAGGGCAATTTTGAGGAAGGTACTAATCGTTTTCTACTTTCTATATACAATTTTCACACTGCCGTACTATAATGGAACTATCAATTATATGCTTTCATTTATCATCTATCGTATAAAATGTTCGCTTTAAGTCTAATATTGACGTTAAGCATATCCAACTATGTAAATCGTTAACTTTTATTGCATGGGTAAAAATTGATTAAATTTCGAGTAAAACTAGTTTAGAGTGTAATGTTTACATTACATAAATTATGGGAGCGTTCGTGGAAAATCCAGGCCATTCTCACAGGTGATTCGCGAAACAGTTTCGAATCGACAATTCGACCGTGTCTCGTGTGGTAAAATCGTTCAAGAAGACCCAGACGACCCAGCGGCGGGCTGGCAGCGGAAGAAAAGCGAAGACGAGCGACCCCGTGAATGCAAGGAAAGTGAGGGATTTCTTCAAGCGCAATCCGAACCTTTCGATCCGGGACGTGGCCAAGAAGGTCAATTCTTCCGTCTGGTAAGGAAGGCGCCTAACCGAACCGATAAACAGAATACGTTGGCCAAATACCGCAGGAAGTTGTACCGCGAGTGGTTGGTGCAGCCGAAATGCATCGTAATGAACGACGAGACGTACATTAAAGCGGACGCCAAGCAGAAGAGAGAGAGGTTCCGGAAGAATAAGGTCGACAAATTTGCCAAGAAGTACTTAGTGTGGCGGGCAATCTCTATGGGTGCGCCAAATTCAGCAAGCCTTACATAACGACCGGCACCATCAACGGCCAAATATATAAAGAAGAATGCCTTCAGAAGCGCCTGCTGTCCTTCCTCCGGTTCCACGAAGGTGACACTCTGTTTTGGCCGGATTTGGCATCGTGCCATTACGCGAAACCGGTGATGGAGTGGTACGAAGCCAATGATGTTGTTTTTGTGCAGCAAAACATTGGCAAATCCGCCAAACTCGCCAGAACTTCACCCAATAGAAAAAATTCTGGGCGATTATGAAGGGCGAGCTCCGGAAAACAAGGAAGGTCTTCAAAAACGACATAGATTTGATGGGTAGCGTCCAAGTTGCGGGCATTTAGCCTAGGAGAGGAGGTTGAATAAACCAACTTTGCAAAAACATAGTTAATATGCGTTTATTTATTCCCTGAGGTTTTCAAAAATATCCGACTTAAAATGAATTTTTGGTGATCATTTTTGTCAGTTACATTTTTTTCGAGTACAGTATTTAATATTATGATCAAATTATCCGCAGTTTTATTTGTTCAACTCCCCCGGCTGGGTGAGAGGTAGAGCATGTCGTGATAACGATGATCAGAGGTCCAACGCTGAAATGTGCCCAGAGAAGCTGAAAGTCTTCGTGGAAGGATTTTCGGTACGACCCATCAAATTGGCCACCTACACCGTACGCAGAGGGAGAGGGAGATAACGTCGAAGTCAACAACGAGGAACTCGTAGCAGTGGCGAAAGGATTGAAGGCGAAGAAAGCTCCCGATCCGGATGAAATCTTCAGTTCCGGATCGTGCTGCTGAAATGCTTGATCAAGGATCTTTTCCCTGATAGGTGAAAGATGCAAATGCTAGTGTTGCTGCCGAAGTCAGGAAAACCACCGGTGGATCCAGCATCGTATAGGCCTACATGTCTGCTGGATACACTCGGAAAACTCTTGGAGAGCATAATCCTAAATAGGCGGACGAAATGCACGGAGAGTGAGCAGGGATTGTCCGAGAGGCAATTCGGACAGTGGTCGAGAGATCCGAGAAGGCGTCCAAACAGAAGTGGAGAGGAGATCGATATTGCGCCGTGATAACGATCGACGTCAAGAATGCGTTCAACAGCACCAGTTGGGAGGCCACCGTCGAAGCGCTGCATAGAATGATGGTCGCTGACTATATGTGCCGGATTCTGAGGAGGTACTTCCAGAACCGGATGCAAGTCTACAAAACAGACATGGGACAGCGATCGATTTGGATCACGGTGGGAGTTCCACAAGGCTCCATCCTTTGTCCAACGCTCTGTAACGGGATGTACAACGGCGTGCTAACGCTGAAGCTGCCCAAACGAGTTGAATCGTTGGCTTTGCGGACGACGACGTCTTGACGGTAACAGGCAGGACGCTGGAAGAAATGGAAATGTTGGCGAGAGGCGATTAAAAATTTATGAAAGCGGAGTTGATGGCCACGTGGTTACAGAAATGAGACTCAGCGGAGAACTATAGGTAGACTCATCGGATAGCTCCGACCTAGGTGAACAGGAAGCATGGAGAGGTAAACTTCCACCTGACGCACTTTATGTTTGTCAGACATGTACCTTGATCGGTACGGACACGCAATCTCTTTCCGGACTGTGCAAATGTAGAAAGAAAGAAATGCTCTATTTATTAATAGAGATGGGCGATCCGCTTCCGAGCTTAGGAACCGCCGCTCATCAGCTCACTGGTAATCACAAATCATAAACCATTCAATCCATCACAGAGGAACGAAAGGCAGCTCTCCACCTCACAGCTCAGCTCTGGATCCGTCAAGCTACTCTTCGGATCCTTTTTTCTCTCGATTCTTCACGATTCAGCTCCGGATTCGGATCGGAATTCTGTTGGATAATTAACTTCAGCAATAAAGTTTGTATGTTGATTGGAATGGAATGCATGAGCAAAGGCGTAACATCGTGTGACACGATGCCAATCATATCATCGCGTGTGATATATGAGTAGTTCTTTCGCATACATGTTTTGCTTTTATTGATATGTTGTTGACACATTTTTTTCCTCTGTTCGGGACACAAAACCACTGCGACCAGTAATTTGATCTATTGTAGCATATCCCGCGTCCTTTGTTTAGTGCAAGTCGTATCACTATTGAGAAATGATGAAAAATTCGATTTTGATACCCTTGTCATTCTTGCCTTCAACGCAAGGAATCGATTCTAGTTGAAAGATCCCATGTCAACATTTCTATAATTTCAATGTGCGCTGAAGAGTTGCTCAAGAGAATCAACTTCCCTTAGTGAGCTGGACGGGAGTGATCCACTCAGTCAGATAAGCTGTTTTGCTCACCTCTATTTATAACCTCATTTCTTTGGTAATTGGCAAAATGTGTGGAATGCATTTTTCCGGAATGCACTATTTCTCAGAATATCATGACATTCGCCTCACTTTTGGTAGATAAAAGATGAAGTGAAGATCTAGTCCGTTGTCAAAGGTTGGTTGATAAACTTTGTTACAAACTTCTTTGTCAATGCTCTTCGACGACTTGAGATGATCTGGGATTCCATTCAGAATAGTGATCGCTCGATTGTTTTCTCATTCCAATTTGTTCCTTTCTCCCAGATTCAGACAACTAGCCGAGTGGCTTGATGATGCTAACATAAAATCTTGAATCAAATGTACGATGTTACTAACACTGACTTATGAATTATTCCATCTTTACTTTCAGTTACAATCTGCATGGCGAGAAAATCAACTACTTCCCGGGCTCGATCACCGATCTGGCCCAGGTGGAAGTCAATTACATTACCATGCCGGGCTGGCTCAAATCGACGGAGAACCTACGTGACTTCAACGAACTCCCGCCGCAGGCACAGGATTACATCCGGATGATAGAGAACGATCTGGGCGTGCCGGTCAAGTGGATCGGCGTCGGCAAGGGTCGTGAGTCGATTATCAATGTTAAGGACTAATATTGCCCCAGTGGTCCGGTCGTTGAGGCCTCTTCGATGTAAGTCCCCGTTGTGTGTTTGTATGTGTGTGTGATAAAATTGAAGAAAGATATCCTAAACCGCTACTTATATATGGGAGCATAGCAATAGGTTTTGTTTTAAGACTTGTTTTTAATATGCAGAAGAAATAGAAAACACCAAAACCAATACCGATGTCCAACATTCGAAAGCATACAATGTTTCAGATCTATGTACCGTGTGGTGACCGTTCAAATCTCATTTATGACCAGCATAATCTTGTACAATTAGTTTCTATAGGAATGTGGCACATACTTTTAGATTATGTTAAAGGTTATTATTGTGAGCATATGAAGAATGACTGCTCATTACGTAACGTAGATACTGAATCTATCTGTTTCAGCCATGTAAGATTAGATTTTGATTTCACATTCGACTTCTGATCATTATGTTTATGTTTTCGAATAAGCGGTTAATGTTGCCCTAGTTCGAGTTTGGGTCTATAATCACCTCCAACATGAAGGAGAATCGTATGTACTTATTTTTCTACAATAATCCACTGATTAAATAGGCAATAGTTTCCTGTAGGCAGCGTTGGAAAAGATCGCGATATTTCACAAAGTTCACCAAGGGAAAAGTTCACGAGTCATAGTGAGTTTTGGTGAACTTTTCCAACACTGACTGTAGGTCGAGCAGAGAATGGAAACAACACGGTATGTGTACGGTAGACGCTTAGATTTGCCTACGGCTTCAAGCACACATTAATCAAGTTCGAAGTCAAGTTTCGAAATTGCATACGTACACAGCTGCTCATAAATTGTAAACAGTTTCGAAACATTGACCTGCTAAAATAACGATGAAGATGCCTGAGCTAAACACCTTAGTTTGGAAGTTGAAAATACTTAACTAACTATTATGAAACGTTATTAGTTTTAGTCCAGTTGACCGCACAAATGGGTTGTAAACCTATTGCGAAAACTCATCAGCTATCCTGAGAAGTAAAACACACAGTTAACTATTGAAACAGATTATAGATAGGATGTACACGAGAATTAATTAAACCAAATCTTGAAGTTTGATAAATGTGAAACAGTGATTAATCGCTCCCAAATTGCGATTCAAGGCGCAATTTTATCAGATATAATAACAAGCCCACATGGCAACACACCATCAGCATGCAAGAACGCTGCGCACGATGTACTTTATATTGATGTTGAGTTCATCAATATTTTTTTTCAGTTTTCCTTAAATGTTTGTTTTTTAACCGGTAGACACCCGTTATGAATCGTATAACATGTTTTTACTTTTCATTCGTTCTGATATGGTAATGTAAATGTTAAACTTATGTTAAGAATTTGTAATATAGTGATTGTACTATTTTACATGTTGTTTTTTCTCCATCGGTAGTGAAATATTACAAATCCTTCTAAACTAGTCCGGGGAACTAGACAATCATTTCCATAAACTCTAAAAATATAACTCTTATTTTGCCGTTCGACATATTCAAAAAAAAAATTAATCGCTACATCCATCGCATAACCTTCCTTGAATAGATATATAATTATACCTGCTTAAAAATAGATTTACGAATAACAATTGGTGAAAGTTCAGACAGCACTCAATTAACAACTGTGGAATCTACATTTAATTGAAAACTGTAAATATTAATGGAATCTCGCGAAAGTCTACCCTATATGTACTGTTCTTAGCAGTGCCCCAAACATGCACTATTGAAATCATTCGATCTTTCTCTAGGAGTTTTTTTTTAGTTTGTCTTATTTTTGAACAAACGAAGCTTCTTAAAATTGCAAAATTCAAGTCCAAATAATACCAAAGTTATCCTCTGCAATTTTGTTCTGTTTCAAGCTTAAAAATCTAACATTTTCTTTGGACACCCTCTAGTCTTCTTCTAAATTGTTTTGACCTTTGCAGAATATACCATAGAAGTTTATCATATCAAAGAACACTTGCCAACTTCTTACCAAACATGTTTAAGAATAACTGCCCGCCAACCATCCGCAACGCGACATTCCGTTGAAGTGCGTCTAAAAACCTAGGCAAAAAAGCAGCTGTCAGAAGTGGGATTCGAACCCACGCCTTCAGAGAAGACTACGACCTGAACGTAGCGCCTTAGACCGCTCGGCCATCCTGACTTGTTCTTTTCAGTGTTCTAACATATAAATAGGTACCGGCGCTAAATTATTATTCATTAAATCGTCCAAAATATATTTCTGCATATCTTTAACGATTCTACGTCAACCCTATGTACAGTACCCTACGATTATCACTATGTACAATTTAAACATGATTACATTTCACGTTGGGCTCCTCCGATCGCTTCCACTGGATCCGGTTGGTGATCCCGACAGGAGCTCCTGTGACAGTCTCACTGTCGTTTCCACGGCGGTTGTCGGTCTAAAGTACGCAAAATGACCTACCGGCGCCAGCGCAGCGGTGCTGGTAGCTAGTGCGCCGCCGCTAATTGGTGACGTCGCGTCGGTGGTACCAAGTGTCGCTTCACGCTTCTCACGTCGATCACGTGCACGACGATTTTGAAACCAGATTTTCACTCGCGTGTTCGTTAGATCCAAGCTGTAGGCCAGCTGGTTGGCTTCTTCCGAGCTCAGGTAGGTGGACACCTTGTACGCATCTTCTAAGGCACTCAGCTGGGTAGGGGTGAACGGAACTCGGGGTAGACGACCGGGTGTTCGCTTCACTGGGCCGGACTTTTGGGGACCTGTATGGAATTGAATAGAACAAGAAAGGATAAAAGTTAGATACATAATTATAACCGACTTTTGTATGGAGCACCCCACTATACATAAAGCAGTTTTCAGACAGGCGGAGCGCGATTTACGGTGATGAAAGAGTGAAAAGTAGTACTTTTGTGTCTCACATACCACTGCCTCAATATACCATTAATGATCAAATTGTTGGATGTGAACACGAACAACCCTTTCAACTTTATGGTAGCTGGGTAAGCAATGGAGAAACTTGAAGGTTTCCAATATTTTGGCAGCCAGATAGCGGCCTTTGTGAGCTTACGAAACATCTGGATATCAAATCAGATTAGTCAACGCGCTAAAATCTGGATTTTCAATTCCAACGTGAAACATATTACTAGGGCCCAGGTCAAGGCAAAAGCAAGCAGCCGCCCTGAACGCAAGTCTGTCACGTTACGTCTACACAGGCAACCATGCATATCGAAGTTATTTTTTAGGGCATCTACAATGAAATTACTTTGTAAGCGAATCAATTTGACATCATATACGACTTAATCTGTAATAACAAATCCAGTTTGACAAGTAGCAGAAAATTTTGGGTTTAATCCCAAGGTTATTTAAAATAAAATAATAACGTTAGTGTCACCCGAGGAAGCCGACTGGAACGCCTTCAGGGAGAAATCCGACACTCTCTTTCAGCAACGCGAACCGAACGACATTTCCAGCTTCACGGAAGTACTCTACGACGCTGCAACACTATCCATTCCAAGGACTAGTAGCGTACCCGGGCGAAAAGCCCTACGTTGGTGGAACGAGGATACCAAATGTGCGGTAAAAGCGCGACGCAAAGCCTTACGCCGGCTTAAGCGCCTAGCCTTAGACGATCCTGGTAGGGAGGAAGTGCTGAAGGTCTACCGAGAACGCCATCTCTTGTGCAGACAGGTGATCCGTGACGCAAAGCGATCCAGCTGGATGGATTTCCTGGATTCAATCGACGAATCCCAATCGTCGAGTGACTTGTGGAATCGCGTCAACGCTCTGAGTGGCAAGCGGCGGTCTACTCCACCTACTATCCAAGCTCATGGCACCACGATCTCAGAACCGAAGGACATCGCTGACAATTTAGGGAACTATTTTGCCGGCCTGTCCGCTGTCAGTGGCTACGACAGCGATTTCGTCCAGCGCGTCAAACCTTCCACAAGCAGCATTCGTGACCTGCGAATTCCACCCGATGTCCCTTCCCTCCAGATCAACGATGCTCTTACCTTCCGGGAGCTTCAGTTTGCCCTCGGCAGCAGTACTGGTAAATCTGCCGGGCCGGACGAGATTGGACACCCGGTGTTAAAAAACCTCTCCCTCTACGGAAAAACGAGGCTACTCGCCCTCTTCAACGACCTATGGCTCACTGACTCGTATCCGGACCTCTGGAAACAAAGCCTGGTAGTGCCTATTCCGAAGAACAACGCGGCGAGTGGAGAAGCCTCCTCCTTTAGGCCGATTGCGCTCACTTGCTGCGCGGCAAAAGTGATGGAGAGAATGGTAAATCGTCGACTTAGGCAGCTCCTGGAGTCTAACAGTCTCCTTGACGAACGGCAGCATGCATTCCGGCAAGGACATGGCTCCTCCACTTACTTTGCAGCCCTCGGGAATGTACTCAAGGAAGCCCAGGACAACGGTCACCATGCGGAGTTAGTATCCCTTGATATATCAAAGGCGTTCAACAGGACGTGGACGCCTGGCGTCATCAGGCAGCTCATCGGCTGGGGCCTGAAAGGCCACATCACGCACTTTGTACGGAATTTCCTCCTTGATCGTACCTTCCAGGTGACTGTCGGGAACACTCGGTCGGATCCGTTCCCCGAGGAAACTGGAGTGCCCCAGGGGTGCTCAGCCGACTGCCCAAGAACGTGCACGTAATCGTCTATGCCGATGACATACTCATCGTCGTAACGGGACGAACGACTAAACGGACCAGGAATATTGCCCAAGCAGCTGTCTCCGCCGTCAGCAGGTGGGCGCTTTCTGTTGGTTTCCAGCTCTCCGCTCCAAAGAGTGTACGGTGCCATATCTGCCACTCGGGCCATCTGATTCGGGAACCACCGATCACCATCCAGGACCATCCAATTCCGCTTAAGAAAACAGTACGTGTTCTGGGGGTAGTTCTCGACCGGCACTTCAGATTGGTGAAAGAAAACTGTCGTAGCCGCATCAACATCGTCAGGACAATCTCCCGCCCACACCGCTCCAGTAACCGTGAGATCCGCCTTCGTGTCGCCCGGGCTGTTATCGACAGTCGACTTTTCTACGGCATTGAAATTACATGCTTAGCCACCGAGAAGCTGAACCGCATCCTCGCTCCGGTATACAATACCTACGTACGCATCGTATCCGGCCTTCTACCTTCCACGCCTGCAGACGCTGCTTGTGCGGAAATCGGAGTCCTCCCTTTCCGCTATCGATCTGCTGCAGCTACTGCTACGAAAGCCACTGCCCTTGCTGCTAAGACATCCGGGAATGATAGGGTCTTTCTTCTCAACGAGGGGAACAGAGCCCTCCGCACTGCAGCCAACCTTGACCTCCCCCCGGTGGCCAGGGTCCACTGGCATGGAGAGAAAAGTTGGCGATCTAACGTTATCAAAATAGATAAGCGGATTAAGAGAGGATTCCAAGCCGGAGATAACTCTGTAGCGTTGAGGCGTTCAGTTGCAGAACTTCTTGGGTCGGTCTATCCGGGGCACGTTCATCGCTTTACGGACGGATCGCGATCACGGGCTGAAGTGGGACTCGGAGTGGCAGGACCAAACTCCGCAACAAGTCAAAGTCTACAGGAGGAGTGTTCCGTTTTTTCCGCAGAAGCCGCTGCTATTCTTGATGCAGCCATCACTCCTGCAGATCAACCGATCCTTGTGCTAACGGACTCACACAGCGTCATCCAGGCGCTGGAAGCCGAAGCCCCGCGCCACCCCTGGATACAAGCCATTACACGATATGCCCCACCCTCAACCGTTTTTACGTGGATTCCCGGGCACTGCGGTGTTCCTGGAAATGAGGCTGCGGACAGGCTGGCGGGATCCGGTCCATCTGGTCCCGCTTCACCAGGAACGTACCACTCCTATACGTCAAGCGTTGGATCGCGAATATTATCATGGAAGCCTGGCAGGAGGAATGGTTTCAGTCGCGGACCACTTTCCTGAGAAAGATCAAAGATACCGTACGACCCTGGCTAGACAGCCACAAGTACAAGGACCAACGGATCATTTCAAGACTCCGGACCGGCCATGCGAGGATTTCCCACAATTTTGGTGGGACACCCTTCCACAAGGTTTGTCCAATCTGCAGAATCCCTGCCTCGGTGGAACACGTGCTGTGTGTCTGCCCAGAGTTTCAAAGGCTACACGAACAACACCGACTCCCAGAGAACATCAGGGAACTACTTGGCAAGTACGCTTGAAGGACGCCCACCTGTACAACCAAATCTAGCACTCTCGTCGTTGGCTGCGCTGTCCGTGTTCTTCCACCTTCCTATTTTCCTGCCGTCGGGGTATCTCTGCCGGACTGGGACACTGTCTCTTACGGTGGAGCTCTACCTTGTTCGCGCATCCATTCCTCACCACAGTCCCGATGTAACTCCTATTTTACATTAAGTTTTTTTCTTTAAATGTTGTTTCAGAGCCAGTTTTACGTTACGTTAATGTTAGCCTGAAACGTTTCCTTAGAGGCAGGCCCTAAGCCTGACCTTCTACTATCAAATGTGATGAACTAGCCTACGGCTAAAAATCACAAAAATAAAGAAAAAAAAAATAGTGTCACCGTCATTGAAACCGCCGTCGGGGTTAAACGGTTAAAATAACAACTCGAACATCAGTGATCTATTGGTAATCGTTTTTGCTTACTGAGCAGAAAATCATGCGTTCATTCCTAAAGCCATTCTATCAAATGATCACATCATTTACAATGGTGAATCCCGATCAATTACCTTTCCTACTAACACAAACTTCTTTCCCTTCTTAGATGTAAAGATGCTATACTCGCTCTTTAGCAGCAACGTATATCAAACTAATATTCCTTCCTTTCCCCTGACGACTGTAACGACGTGGCCGGCGCCGTTATTGATGTTTAAAGTACAGATTCACCAGAATTTGCACACTGAGAATTGGTTACTAATCCCAAGCCCCACCCATTTGGTTATGTTATAGGCGATGAAATTCATTCTTGTATGTGATTTGGACTAAATCTATAGCATTCTACGATTCTATCTGTACATTGTTATAAGACTTCTGGTTGTTTAAACCCAGACAACCAGAATATATGCGTATCAAAGTTGCTTTTGCGATATGCGAAAATGTATACGAAGAAATAAGTCGTATATAATGCACAAAAATGGTTTATACTGCCTAGAATCAGTCCCACATGAAAAACTAACAAACCGAGAAAACAGCGATGAAAGGTGAAATCATTTTAATCGTTTCACAGCCTGTTTCGCATGTTTTTTTTTTAATTATTAAAATCACGTTATACTATGAGAAGTAATGTTTTTGATACTATTAGGTGAAATAAATTTAAAATTTAATCGATTGTAGAGAACAAAAAATATCGATGGGACGAAAATATCGACGCTTTTAGTTTGCTGTCGGCGTTCGTTGTTTTAATACAGTCGAAAATAAAATCTGTCGCGTTCATCTTCTGTGTAAAAGAAGTTATTTCTGGGTTGTCTGCAATGTCTGCTTTGGGAATGATAAAAACTTACGGGTACGGTGAAAGTTCAGATGAAGAGTGTCCAGGATTCGATCTTGGAGTTAGGGACAGTGAGTGGTTTTCGCGTTACGCGCATGAGACTTTGCAACGGTCTTTTTTCGAATCTTCTCCATTGGTGATGCAAGAAAAGATCCCCAGCAACGATTCAGTGTCACAAAACCGGTGTTCACCGAAGTACGTTCATGATTCGGACGACAGCTTTTTTTTAGATGGACAGAGATATCGAGCCAAATTGGTCTCCAAAGATGACAGGATCGACACCAACAATTTTTTTTTGAACACTGGATGCTTCAGAGCAAAAATGTTTCATACGAGCAAGGGTCCAGCGCAAAGCCGTGGAAAGACGTACCCGACATCGTTTCACCGATGCTCAGGAAGTGTCACTCGTATGATTTTCACATTCGAGCTGTGGCAAGTGACGAATCGCCGACCGTGTGTAGAAAGTACGTTGGGCTACGGGGAACATTGCGGGTAAGTTTTCTTTGATCATAGAATTAATACGTTAAACCTATTGTTTGTTTTGAGCTTATTACAGAAATATTATCTACCGATTCGTTGATGCTGACGACGATTATGCTCTATCGAAGGCTCCCAAGCGAGGACAGTACTGCGAACAGGAAAACGAGATTCAGTCAGAGCGCATATCGATAAATACAAACCGACCACATATCACATTATCGACGTGCTCATGCTCCAAATCGGCTGTATTTGCAATCGGATTTAACCAAAACGGTCATGTACCAAAATTACCAGGCAACTCACGAGATCGGTGTCAGCTATTAATTTTACGGGCGTATCCTGAAGGATATGAAAATATCGATGGTAAAACTTGGACACGAGCAATGCGAAACATGTGTTTCGGCACTTCAACATCAGAAAACTTCCGGACATACTACCGAGGCTCCACCATCAAACGACTATTGTGCCACATGTAATCAAAACAGTGAACATCTTCAGCTAGCCAAAGCATCCCGTGCGAAGTACCGTTATGGTGATGGCGGTTGATTTGCAAAAGGTATTTCTAATGAATAATTATAGGTGGTTGTGATTGTGAACTTACGCTAACCATTGTTTCCCCTTTAAATAGGTCCCCGTCTAGATGGATTGAAGACAGTTGTGTTCTCACAATATCTCTAATAGCCTTCAATGAAACCTTCGCTCCTGTCGGGAAGTACATGCAGACCAATTCCTGATCTGGCATGTGTGTGGAATGAAGCTGTGAGCGACCGATCGTCTAACGACCTAGCTGGATGTTTTCATAATCAAATTGGAATCTTTTCCTTTACCTCATCCTTCATATACATTCCAAAAATGTTGAGATAAAGGAGTTGATTTCAAAATTTTTTTAATCAGGACACACCTTCATGGCAGCAGACAACTTCTACGTCGCAGTTAAAGTTGCAATGTGCGATTTGAAAAGCTGTAAGATATTAACAGCCAAGTAGAGACTGGTTTCAGTGAAGCACTTCAACCTGGAGGAACATTTGATAAAGAGAAGTCAACCCACACACTTAATCTAGCTCGGTAAAATCTCCAACAGCCGATTACCTCGGCATTTAAAATGTTATTTGTTAGCTGAGTCTCGGTAATTGTTTTACTGAATACCAGCAAAATAAATTGCAGAATCACTCGGCTGTTGGAATCTCGGCGAAAATTTTTAAATGTGCAGAGGAATTGACCTGGACAGAAAAGCTACATTGCTGAAAACTATTTTGCCATTGGTAGAGGAAGGAAAAAAACCGTTTTGGGAAGAGTTACCTGAAGTCCATGGAAAACAGGACGGCTATTTTTTTTTTCATTGCCATTATTATTTTTCCTTTGTTTTCATTCAATATTATGTATTAAACAGCACGAAAATAAGAATCCATACTAAAAATACTTGCTAAATGCCTTTGGTTTTTTTTATACATTTGTCATAATGGGACTGATATGCGATTACTTTTAAGATGGGACTAACATACCTCATCTATTTTTCCTATTATTTCAGAACAAACAACTCGATTTTATACTATGTAGATGAAGAATAATAAAAATTAGGCCCATTAGTGCACGTATCTCAAAATCGTCGAAAAGTCATATGGGACTGATATGCGAATCTAGGCAGTATAGAAAAATGGAAAATAATCACCGAACTCAGTTATATTGAAGATGTGCCAAATAGTCAGACTCGTGTCCTACTACCTTTTCAAATGTTTGGAAGATAATTAATTGGTAGAACATAAATTCGCATAAATGTTCTATAAAGCACAAATGAACTTTAATATGTAAAATTAAGTCGTCGTCGGTGCCGGGTTTGAATGGTTAGAACAGCTCGAGTTATATGAGGGGCTCGGTGACCTTAGAGCGAGCGTTTTTGCTTACTGAGCAGAACATAATGAGTCTAATCTCAGGCCCATCCACATTCAAGATGGGTCAATCGTTTTATTTGTTAATATGACTACACGATAATAATAGCAACTCGATAATTAAAAAGGAGCTCGTTTGCCTAGTGGTAAACGTTTTTGCTCACTGAGCAGAAGACCGTGGGTGCAATCCAAAGCTCCTTCGCGTTATATTATTGTTAGGGCATCAATTCAGCTTATCGTTTACCAGAACTAACCCTGCTGCAAACCCAACCCACTTACCCAACATCCCAGTGATTCTTCGTGGAAGTGCAGAGGATTCCTCGGTTTCCATCAAAGCGAATGTCACGTCAACACATTCCTAGCCATTAATTTCTTGACCTGCATTCGGGCGCGGCCGGCGCTGGTATTGCCTAGTTTGAGATCACCGGTGTTTACACATTGAGGATGAATTTTAGTCACAAGCATCGTATGATTTCATTTGACATCATATACACATTAATTCAGACCTCCACTGTTCGTTAATTAAAAAATAAAAATGTATTTCGAACTTGTACAGCTGACTTGACAGTTAATGATAAAAAATAAAGTTTATTGATTTCTTACGTCACCTGTGTTCAATATAATAGCAGCGCATGCCGATTTCCATACAAAGTGCTCAACTTTGATAAGTTGTAACTTTGTTCTCCTAAGATCAATTGAGCTGAAAGGTAAAATTTTGTTCAAAATAATAACAGTACTAATAATTTTCATTTCAGCTCAATTTTGAGGTTTTAAATTTTACATTTCTCAAAATTCTAGCAATCCCCACCCTATTAAAAAATGTACATAATAGTTAAAAATGTTTAAATATTTGCAGTACCTACAAATTCAAATCAAAAATTGCTATTATTTTGAACAATTTTACCTAGCGTCTCTTTTTCCAACAGGTGCTTCCAAAAATTTGGTATTTTGTAATAGTAAAATTGAACATATTTGTAGTTCTGTGGCGAACGTTTCAGCTCAATTGATTACATCAAAGTTACATCATGTCAAAGTTGACCATACAAAATTGTATGAAAATCGGCATGCGCTGCTATTATATTGAATACAACCGTACGTGTAACGGTCATTTGAAAGTTAGGGACACATGATTTCATCTGTTCAAAAACCCGATAAAAATCGGTGATCTAAATTCAGTGTGTACGATTTAATCTGTAATAACAAAAACAGTTTGACAAGCCGATTTTATCCGATTTAATTTGTAATGTTGTATGATACAAAAATGACTCATCGTATGTAAATCGTAGTAAATATGTGATTCTAGAAGCACTTCGGATTCAAAAAGTGTATTTCTAGATAAAAATTTACCTGCATTGATCGATTCTCTTCATCGACTTTCTCTTTCGTTAATAACTCAGGTGCAAAATCTTTCCCTGTTGTATCTGACGATTTGGACACTAGATAAGAACCTCCTTTATCGAACTATGTGGTAAAAAAGCGTGAAATCTGTGTGCATACCGAAATCTGTGTGCAAGTCGATGAAGAGATTCGATCAAAGTACACACTTAAGTTTTTTTCTACCGAGCTCGGCTGTGCCAATCTCGGCAAAATAAGTTTCACTGAGATCTCAGCAAAAGTGACATTTGATAGCTGAGTCTCGGATAATGCTTAGCTGAATCTCAGTAAAACTTATTTTGCCGAGATTTGCACAGCCGAGCTCGGTAGAAAAGATCTTTTGAAATGTTCATCGAGATTTGTTTATCACGATTGCTTACTTCAAACGAAGAAAACACCAGTGAGGGGTTGTTCATCAACTACCCCCTCCCCCTGCGTAGACAATTCTATACAGAGCTGGAAAAAGGGCCAATCTACTCTTGATCGACTTTCTCTTTCGTTAATAACTTAGCTGCAAAACTTTTCCCTGTTGTATTTGACGATTTGGACGATAGACAAAAACCTCCTTTATCATGCTATATGGCAAAAATAGCACGAAAACTGTTTGTATAGCCGTGTTTATCAAAAGAGAAAGTCGATGAAGATAATCGATCAAAGCAGATAGGCCCTTTTTCCAACTCTGTATAGAATTGTCCATACACAATTTTTAAAATTGGTATGGGCCGTGGATAATTGCCAACGTAAAACTCTCATTCATTTTTTCGTCAATGACAAAGATTCACCTGTAACAAAAAGTCTAATTTCGTGCATTCTTTTTCACATTATTGATATCCAGGCAGTTAATGCTTATTCACTTTGACGGCTCCACGGATTTGTTTTGCTTAATACATTTTATTATTTCGTTTCAAATTTAGCTAATAACAAAAACTGCTCATGTTCGTCACTGACAATGGACATGATTTCCCTTAAAGATCATTTTGAGTTCAAGTGAATGACGAAAGCTGTATGGTATGGTCGAAATGTTGTAGCACTGCGTCTATGGCCAAGGAAGTAAACCAACCAGAAAAATTTTCTAGATTGAACCGGGAATCGAACTCAGGCTTGGTAATCACCCACATTCTAGTTTTCTTTAGAAACGTTTTTCAAAAAAAAAATTGTGTATGAAACCGAACGAAAACAAGAATATGGGTGAATACCGTGCCTTCGGTTTTACTACTTAAAATTGTTCCATGCTGGAAAGTTATCCAATTTTGAAAAGATTTACTTGGAACCATTATGTATTACTACCGTTGCCCGATCTAGAAATTAACGGCGATCGAGATCACCTCTCCTCATGATGTAACAATGGAATCGAAAAGGAATCTCACGTGGCAACTTTGGTGGTCGATAGCGCGTGTAGTACAGCCAATCGAAACTTGGCATACAATTCTGCAGATAGTTCGTTGCATGATTGCTTTCGGTCCTCTGCAAACTGTCCACAATAATTTCCTCCTCGTCATCCGACACTATTTGCTCATCACTATCACTGTGGCTGTGCGACGTGTTCGAGGAACAGGAAAATGTATCCAACTTCCGACGTTTTTCGTACTTTTCTCCAGCTTTGGTCAAAATGTGCTCTATACTAAAATCACTTTGTCTCAATTGAGCCATATTTTTGCAATTCGTCGTCATCTCTTGGTGTCCCTATATTCACTGAACAAATTCCCGACACGCACTAACCGGGACACGCATCTTTGTACATGTTTTTATCCGACGCTCATCTTTGATCCTTCCAACTCCTGCGTTTTAAAGCATCAACCTATCAGTTGCATCCTTTTTCAACCAGTGCGTCTCCTTTTTTCATCCTTGTCCGTCCTTTTTCGTCAGATCTATTGCCATGACTAGAAAGCAGCATGATACCCCTCAGGAAAAAAGGAACAGTAGCAAACACATGCTTTGGAAACAGGAACCCACCCTTCCATCTGTGGTCGTATTTGTTTGGAAATTAAATTTTAATACAAATATTTACGGAAGCATCTTCACCACGTGTGAGTGCGCACCGCTTATCCTAATGCCGCAAAGGACCTATTTGGCGAATGCGTTTGGCATTGTCAGTCGCAGTGATGGATGATGAGAGAAAATGAGGGAATAAGTTGATGATCATAGCCGAAAAGGACATTAGCAAACACGGTGGCAAATGCGGAATGATTGAAAAAATAACATAGGGTAGCGAAACTCCTCCTCCTTTTCCCTTAAAAGAAGGAAGAATAATGACGAAAGAAGAAAAACCAAGATGAAGTTGATAGCTCTGCTTCATGTGCGAGACAAGAGGGCCTTGAAGGATAATAATTACTGCTCAAGTGGAGGGTTTTAAACGTAACTAGGATTATTGCGGAACAGGAAAATTTTGTCATCAAGGACGTGCTGCTGTTTTTGGACTTTATTAAAGTAGTGCTATTGCTATGCTATACCGTTTCGAAGGTGACCACAGCTGCTGCAGTTGATTGTTGTTTTCTTGTGACCATCTTCGATTAAGTAGGATGATATGCCATGATGGGATGTCACAGATACTTCTTTTGTGAATGGTTCGATATTATGGCGGTCTCACTGATCGAGCAATGATGTAATTATTTGATTATACACGGTGTTAGATTTCTATCGTTGGTAGTTCCTTAACCTCAACATATATTTGTGCACATTTTCTTCATATTTTTTTTCATTTTACTTAAATGTCCCAACTGGAACATTTTGCCAGTCTTTGAACACTTCCACAGTTGTTAATTGAAAACTTCATGTGGTGTTTACATATGCGCTGGTTCACTGCCGCTAGTGTTCTAGAACTACTGTACTAAAAAGTAAACAGGGTTTAAGCAGCTGCCAGCATGAGATGTCAGGAACAGCTGAACTCCGTGCTAGTTGGTTGAGCTGGTGGAGCTAGTCAACTAGCCGCGGAGCGGTGCATGAATTACAGCAGTATGAAAGAGTCAACTAGAGCTAGTTTGACTCTCTGATACTACTGCAAATCCCGCTCCGCTCCGCGCATGCACGCTCATGTCTTAATTGACCTTCATTCTTATATTGTGTGCTCAATGATACTTTATGCCTAGGAATCTTGCAAAATTGTGCAAACCGAAAAACTCTTTGATCGGACTGGACATCGAACCCATCGTTTACAACATGCTTTTGCTTGAGGTAATGAAATTGGGTTGTTAGCGGAATGCTTAATCAAAACAGCAAAAAAAGGTTATCTTCCACTTAATTCATTTTGGTATACATCTCGACATTTTTACCTAGGGGATGAGTACTTAAGTCTTTAGTGGGAATGACACGATTGTAGTCGAATTACGTATCTGTCATGGATATTAAAATTAATTACCCTTTTTTGCTTTTTAGTGGCACCATCACTAACTGACGTAAAAGTCAATTAAAACTCGAATACATCACACATAATGTGCAAAAGCAACACAAATTTCTTTTACAATCCTAGGTTTTTTGCATGAACATCAGGATCAGGATCTGTTTAGTCTCATCTGCTCCACAAAAAAAATGGCAAGATTATATACTTTTGTCCAATCTGGTAGAGTCTGCGGTCTGGACGTAACATTTCGTGCCTTGACCAGTATTTCGACGAACCGAAGGTGTCCTATCGATAATCGAGGACCAAACGGACAATCAACAAGCTCGGATCGCATCAGTAATCGCCAGCAAAATGGTTCGAACGCCATCGTTAGCGATTTTCTTTCAACGGTAATCGAATTGGTAAAGGGAATTCCTTTACATTGCACTTTCCCTAAGATTTCCTGAACCCTTATTGAATTTATTTTAATAAAGGCTCACTGGTAGAGTAAATATTTCCGGACCACAGTCCTCGATTTTTAGGGTAACATGCTCACGACGCATGGTATTCTAGTGGCATAGGAGTATTGAGCGAAAACCCAAAACTTAATAACTTAAAAAAAAATATATAGGTATATAAAAATTCAAAAAACGAAAACAAAACACCCCGCTGATTTTGTGATATAATGTGTAAAAAAGCCTAAATTGTCGAGAAAAATTATAAAAATACATACTGCGGCCTCTATCTACAAACAATGAAAAAAAAAACAATCGATGTTTTCAATAAAAAATCTATTTTTTATATCATTATAATTATATTATATATTCAATTTTTATTAAGTATTTTAATTAGCTTTCATTTGATAATTTAATCTTTGAAATCAGCCTAGTGGCACAAAAGTTATAATTTTTTGAAAAAAGTCATTTTTGAAAATAAAAACGATTTTTTGACAACCATTGGAAATGGTCACCCTAATGACAAAATAAAAAATATGGGTCTAATATTTTGCGATAAGGAACAAAACTACCAAATTTTACGTAAGCTGAGAACCACTATATCGTTTTGCTATGGAATGTCGCCCCTTCAGTGGTAGCAAAATCATTTTTGCAGTTCGGTGAATAACAGAAAATCCACGATTTGTGACTAAACATGCTTTCACAGAAGGAAACAAATAAACGAGTGTTTACCTTATCACCATAGTAATGTACTCGTGCAATTTTTGTGCATCTAAAACTGCCCATAAGGACGATAATGAATAAAAACCGAAAATTTCCATGCATTTCCAAATGGTTTCCTACCATTCCCATACATTTTAAAGTGACTGGCCCTCTGGATGTGGATGATGTCAAAAACAACAAAACATGATTAATTGAGGGGGTTAGAAAGAAAGGGGTGTAAGTGACTTTGATCGATTCTCTTCATCGACTTTCTCTTTTGATAGCCACAGCTTTATAAACAGATGTTGTGCTGTTTCTGCCTAGTTTGATAAAGGAGGTTCTTATTAACGAAAGAAAAAGTCGATGAAGAGAATCGATCAAAGTCACTTACATCCCTTTCCTTCTAATCCCATCAATTTAGAAAGTTCCCCCTCCATGGTAGTCGAGCATTTTTTTCCAGAATGAGAAAAATCATTAAATCATATTTTTTAGCAACTACGCACTTATCAGCAAAACAAGTACAACTACCAGATACACATTATCCGCGTTTGCTAGTACCTAAATGATGAAGATAAGTGCCCTAGTTTTTGTGTAATCGAGCAAAAATAAAGGGGTAGGTCACTCCGCACACCAATCTTGGGTCAACATTTTTCTCAGTGTGCCGCAAGTGTAACGCTGGTGTGCGCCAGGGCTGGTAGCAGGTCACTTTTTAGTGACTTGGTCACTATTTTGAAACCAGTCACTAAAAAGTCACTAAAGTCACTTTTTCACAACTAAAATAGAGTGAAATTTAAAAATATCAACAAAATGTTTAAATTGAGTACTTGGCACTAAGAAAGTCTATAGTAGTTTTAGTAAAATATACATATCTGTTAAAAAATTGAAAATTTTAACTAGGGTGACCAGTGAACCGCAAAACTTTAGAACACCAGAAAAACTATTGGGGAATGCCTACAATTTCGAATAAAAATTGGGGAAAATTTCCCAGAAAATAAATTGTAAACCTGGAAACTTTCCAAACGTATTCTCTCTGTGATAGATTTTTAAAAGTCTTTCAAGCGTGATTAAGAACTTTAAAAAATCTAAAGTAAATTTTAAGAGAATTTTTGAAAGATTCTAGGGATGACACCAAAATTATATAAGAGAAGAATTCAGACTACGAAAGTCTAATGTGTAAAATTAAGTGCTCTGAGCACCGATTTCTTCATCTCCGCTTAAATCTTAAGCCAGGTTTACCTATATAGTTAAACTTGACCTAACACATACGCGCGTCGCTTTTGATTATTGTTTAAATTATTAGAGACGCAAAATTCAGCTCCGAAACTATTTAGGAAATAATTCCAATATAATTGAGAGTGCATTTTAACGAGAGTTCTGAGAAGAATTCTATGATGATTGGATGAGGATTCTAGGTCCAATTCTTATAAGAATTCGAAATTAGTTCTGCTATTTTGCTTAAGGGAACTCTGATGAAAATTACATGAAAATCCCGTGAACTCCAAAGATGGTCACTGCGGATAGTTCTAAAAGAATTCTGGGGTGATTTCTAAAGAGTTCGAAATAAATTCCGAGAAGAATTCCAATGGAATCGAATTTTGAGGGTTCAATCTCAAAGGAATTCTGTGAAGGGTTCCAAAGTTATTCTGTGATGGATTTTTGTTTTGAGAATTCTGAGGAAATACTATGGGAATTCTAAGGAGAATGCGAATTGAATTTCCAATTGAATGCAGGGGGAGAAATCCAAGATTATTCTGAGCAGAAAATTATGAAATTTCTGAGATTAATGGCATGGAAATTCTAAGGAGGATTCAAATAAATTTGAAATGGATTTATGGAAGGAGCCTTCAGGGAGTTCCTAGAAGAATCAATAAAAAATTGAAAATAATCTACTTTAACTAGTCATGTGTTATAACTTTGCGATTTACATAGTTATTACGTGCGATTTACATAGTTGGAGATGCTTAACGTCAAATATCAGATATAAAGTGCAGGTTTTATACGATAGATAAGCAGATTAAATTATAGAGTTGATAGTTCCGTTGTAGTACGGCAGTGTGAAAATTGTATATACAAAGTAGAAAGCGAGCAAGGACAATTTTGAGGAAGGTACGAATCGGGTAGTTATTTATGTCAGATGGTGACTTGAGTGTGAAACAATCGATAGAACTGTTTCCGCACATCGGAGGAACATGAGCAAATCGGCGATCATCCCTTTTGCCAGTGGTGGCAGAAGGAAGCACCCCTCACTATTCCTCATTAATGGATGAGCTTGGTAAAGGAGATACTCTACCCGATTCGTACCTTCCTCAACATTGTCCTTTGTTCGCTTTCTACTTTCTATATATAAATTTCACACTATCTTACTATAACGGAACTATCAACTCTTTACTTTCATCTCCTCATCTATCTTATAAAATGTC